CTTTTTTACTATAGCTCCTTTTCCAAAGCAAAATGACAACATTTCCCTTAAAGCCAAGTTTTACCTAATATCTGATGAATATTGCCTGTGGGTCAAAAATATAGGCCATCAAATAAATCAGTCCAATGGGAATTGAATGAAATATGGAACTTTGAAAACCTCAATATTAACACAAAGTATTTAAATAAAAATATATTCATATGGTAATAAGAGAATTTAGCTGAAAAATATATTAAATTGATAACATCAGGCAAAATATAAACATGGCAGGGCTTGATGTTTCAGTACTTCGGCACTTTTCCATATTATCCTTCACATTTAAAGCATATTGCAGTCCTAATATCATCCATGAGGCAGATACAGGAAATAGAAGGATTCCTGTAAAAAGGCACTGTCACATCTGGCATGGCGGCTATCCAGTCCACATACACTTAGAACAGGGGTGGGCAAAATACGGCCCGCAGGCCGGATGTGGCCCACCAGGCTATTCTATCCGGTCTGCAGGGCCCCTAAAAAATTTAGAAAATTAATATTTATCAGACCCTGGCTGCCTGTCGTGCAACTCTTGATGGCTTGCCAAAACTCAGTAAGCGGCCCTCTACCTGAAATAACTGCCCAGCCCTGATTTAGAAGATGGTCAAACCACTTTATTATTCAATAGAGTATTACAAGAGAGATGACCCCAGTTAAACTGGATTGCGACTTTCCTTTTAATTGGCCATATCATTATGGAAAAGAAAAATGTTCTCAGAGTTTTATGTGTTTTAGTTTCAGGAATTAGATACACTTTGCTAGAAGCTGAGGAAAAGGGCAGCAGGCTTTGTCCACTGGACAAGCAGGGGCAGATCCAGGATCTGGCAGAAGGGAGTAGGGAAGCAGCCACCCATACTGCGGTGGTGGCTGTATCCCTGCTCCCAGCTTCTTCCCCACCCTCTCCATGCACCCTTGGGGCCAGACCACACTGTGGGAGCCTCTGGGGACTTTTTTAAAGTCCACAAAGCACATAAGAATCCCTTCCCCTTTCCCTCCTTGCTCAGAGGCATGTCCCGTCTTCAGAGCCACTCCTGCTTGCTCCAGACAGGCTGTGTGGGGCATGGGCTCAGCTGGTAACAGTGATGGGGCATTAGCAATAGGCAGAGGCATTCCCCCTCTCTATGCCTGCTCCCAGGAAACTGGGCAGGGTGGGGGGAACCTCTACCGCACCCATTGCCACTGCTGCCAGGGACCGATTAACCCTTTAGAGGGCCCGAGGCAAACTCATGGCCCCCTACCTGTTTCACTCAATAATTATAATACGTAAAATAAGTACAACTGGGCCCTTTCTTCACCCTGAATGCTCTCACTGTTGCTTTTCTCACCTGAGCTCAGCCCCCCACACCACCTGAAAGGTGCAGCTACACCACTGCACCTCCACTGGATCCACCCCTGTGGACAAGATGCAGGCTGGTGTAATTGTAATACTTATTGACCTAATTCCACCCACAGAGCTTCTGGAGCAGACAGTGCACTGGGGAATCATGTTGCAGTGCAGTACGCAGGGACCCACAAGGAGACAGGGAAACCTAGATGATGTGTGGGATTGGCTAAGGATGGGACATGACCTAGGACAATGCTGATTTAGCATAGCCCTCAAACAACCTCTACCAGCAGAACTCCCAATGGTGCTATGACCAGCTGTCTCTGCCCTATCACCCCAAGGGAAGGATGTTGCAATAGCACTGCTTGCCCTCCCAGAGAGCCAGGCTGAAACAAGGTAGTGTCATTTACACTTCTCTCTTGTGCTGGCTCTACCTCCCTTCAAAATCAGTGGGAAGCGTTCCATGCACAGCTCCCCAAAGTACTTTAAGCTTTGTTTTAGCTGCATGTGCTTAGGTGTCATGAAAGTCAGTGGAGGTTAATCATGGACTAAAGGACATGCACATGTTCAGGTGTTTTGCTGTAAAACATCCTAAATTAGATTCAGTAAATCTAATTCAGCTGTTTTTAAAGCATTTCAGTCAGTGCAATAGATGAACGCTAATAGTGCAGATTCCTCTAATCGGTTGCAGTAAAATGTTCCTGTTCCAAGCAGTGCTGGGGAAAAAAAGTCCTACAATGACAAATAAGTAGATGACTCCAGGCAGAAGAGTCCTTACCGAATGTGCCTTTGATTGAAAATAGTGAAGTAACTTTCCAAGGCTTTGTAGGGGTTTTATAGATTTTCACTACAAGTCAGCTACTGAGCAAGATTTTTACTTTTTGTAGGATTCTGTAGGAAAGTAGATTTTCCCTATGTAGTTTTTGCCATTTTTTTGGCTCATCACTTTTACGTATTTCAGTATATAAATGAGGCAGCACATTAAAATGAGCAGTAGCTCTTTTTAGCAAACTGGGCCTGATCTAAAGTCCATTAAGAAAGATTTGCTGTTGACTTCTATTGGATTTAGATCAAGGCCACAGGAACTCATATTATTCCCTTCTACAGATTTTTCCTATGGTTCAGCTGATATGGCTAGTTACATAGAGTTTGCATGTTGCTATTCCCTTGATTTTGAGTAGCTTGTGCATGCATGAAAAGGCATGAAATAAATCTTTTTTGCCTTGCTTGGGGACGAACAAGTTTGATTTTTTTTTTTTTTAAGTATTGGGAGTCCCGTTTGCTTCTGTAACACCAAAAAATTAAAAAAAAAACCCAAAAAACAAAATTAAATATAGGTCTGTGACCCTTGAGCTACTACAGCAAAAGTTCTGTCCCTCCCCACCATTCCCTCTGTGCATGGCTGTATCTGTAGGCATAGAAACAATGATATAAAATCTGAAGAGCAAACCCTGACTTCAGTGAAGTCAGTGGGAGCTTTGCCATTGACTTTCAGTTGAGCCAGGATTAAAAATGGAACTTTGAAAGGAGTCTTACAAGAACAAATTGCTATAAGGTGAGAGCTCACTCTAATTCTGAGCCTTGGAGTTACCCACAGGTAGTAGTAGGCCCATTTAAAAAAATAGGATGGATTACTCTTAAAATGACTATTTAGTGAATGTAGGTTTATATGACAAGCCTTTGTATGGGTCTCATCCCTTGTCTTGTGTAGAACATTCTCTTTTGTGGAAAGACTAGTTTTCCTTAGTGTAATATGAAATACAGCCTGTGATTGACTTATGAAGATCTTTATTGGGACATGGAATCCAAACACAAGTCCCAAGGCAGGAAAATGAGGTCTATAATCCAGGAGGGTTTCATCTCTTGTGTAAGAGCACCAGAGATTAATCTAGCTCCCTGATGTAATATATTTAGCATGTAATAACAGTAACAAGAACTAAAACAGGGAGGGAGGAAGAGTGGGGAATGAATTCCACAGCAGGGCGCTTATTCAATGTCTGAAAGGTGAAGGGAAGAATTCCCCTGGATTTCCCTACAAGTGTATGTCTATGTGGATTCTGTTGCCAAAGAAGTTGCCCCTGTGAACATTGGGCTCCTATACATGTGCAGGGAGCCTGCTCTGATGCGCTGTAATTACAGCGCGTCAGAGCAAACTTGATTAACCAAGTTTGCTGGAGCCTGGAAATTAATGCACTCTGGCAGCCTCCAGTGTCACATGCATCAGCATCCCCACACTGAAAAATGACAGCAGGGTACTTTGAACTAAAGCTGGTTCGACAAACTTTAGTTCAAAGTGCCCCACCACCATTTTTCACTACGGGAACACTGATACATAGGACGCTATAAGTGCTTTTAATTAAAGTGACCCCCCCCACACACACACGCACCTTCCAGAGCATGTGCATACATGTCCCTTGTTTTCTGCTTGTAGATGGGTGTATTACTGGTTTCTCTGTGTTATAAGGATGCAAAATTTGACTACTGTAATCTATATGTTAAGCATAGAGACTTCCTTTGGTTTTGAATATTTGTAAATGCATTGGACTAACAGAAATGGGATGCAGTTTTGGACTCTGTAAACTGATGGGAGAAAATGTGGAGTGGATCTCCTGCTTAAGATACCTGCTTCAAGAGTCATAGCATGAGATTGTAACTCAAGGTCTACCTATAGAATGCACATATCCTTTGATATATCAGATCAGTACACAGGACATTGAAATACTCTCACAATATGTTTTCCCAAAGAGAAATCACTGTCTTTTCAAAGTGAAATTTGCACATAGGCAGATATTTTGTATCTGATCCTCTTCAAGGGAATCCCTTATTCATTTATAAATACTCCATGCATTCTATTTACTGTAAGTGAGTAAAGTAGCCAAGATCCTGTTTTGTTTTGTTTTTTTATAGATAAAGACAATGATTACCCAAGGAATATTACTGATCCAGTTGCTTGATTATAGTTTGGATGTGGGTAATTGATCTCCATGAAGCCTGGTCATCCCATATTAAACTATATTCACTAAGGGATTCAGTCATGATTAGAAGTTCTTTGACAGATTTTTGGCCTTATTTTTTTAAATGTATAAACATAGATTTATATTCCAGTATTTGCATATATACTTTAATCTAGTATGCCGTCTGTCATTAAAACAAAGTCCTGTGGTAGCTGGCTGCCATG